CTGTCTTGGCAATCTTCAGTGCCCTCTTGGCGTGTCGTGGCGTGTTTGGGAGCAGGCCTGGACAGTCCCGGGAGCCCTGGGATCCCCAAAGTCCCCCCATGGGGGGGTACGGCATCGACCCAGACCCTCCCCGGCCTACTCCGATATGTATATGTTTGATACATAGATACATACATACATCCATACGAACATACATACATACCTGCATACACGCATACATGCATACATACATACATGCATACATGTATACATACAGACATACACACATATATACATACATATATACATACATGCATGCATACATACATGCATGCATACATACATAAATACTTACACAAATACATACATTCATACATACATAAATGCAAAACAACCTACATAAATACATGCATGCATGCATACATACATGCATACATACATACATGCATGCATGCGTACATACATACATATATACATGCATACATACATACATGCATACATACATGCATACACACATACATGCATACATACATGCATACACACATACATACATGAGTACATACATGCATACATACATGCATACACACATACATGCATACACACATACATAAATACATACATGCATACATACATGCATCGTACATACATACATACATACATACATACATGCATACATGAATACATGCATGAATACATACATAACTACATACACGCATAAACACATGCATCCATACATGCATACATGCATGCATGCTTACATACATACATACATACATACAACCATGCATACATACATACGTAAATACATTCATGTATAAGTGCATACATACATACATAAATGCATACATGCAGACATGCCTGCATGCATGCATACATACAAACATACATAAGTACATACAATCATACATACATACATGCATACATACATGCATACATGCATACATACATGCATACATGCATACATACATGCATACATACATAAATGCATGCATGCATACATACATACATACATGCATACATGCATGCATACATATATGCATGCATACATACATGCATACATTCATACATACAACCATGCATACATACATACACACATAAATACATACATGCATGCATACATACATACGTACATACATGCCTACACACATGCATACATACATGCATTCATACATACATAAATACATACATGCATACGTACATGCATCCATGCATACATGCACACATGTATACATGCATACATGCATACACACATACATACATACAAACATGCATACGTGCATGCATACATGCATACATGCATACATACATGCACCATACACACAAACATACATACATACATAAATGCATGCATACATACATGCATGCATGCATAAATACATACATGCATACACACATGCATACAAACATGCATACATGCATGCACGAATTCATACATACACACATGCATACATACATACATAAATGCATTCATGCATACATGCATACATACATACATGCAGACATACATGCATACATACATGCATGCACACATACATACATACATAACTACATACATGCAGACATCCATGCATACATCCATACATACCTACATACATAAATCCATACATGCATACACATACATGCATACATACATCTATGCATTCATACATAAATACATACATACACGCATACAACCATACATGAATACATACATGCATGCATGAATGCATACATACATACATGCATACATACATACAAACATACATGCATACATACATGCATCCATACATACATGCATACATCAATACATACATGCATACATACATGCATGCATGCGTACATACATACATACATATGCATACATACATGCATATACACATATATGCAGACATGCATGCATACAAACATACATGTATACACATACATGTATACATACACACATACATGCATACATGCATACATACATGAATGCATACATGCATACATACATTCATATATACATACATACACATACATATAGACATACATCCATCCATACATACATACAAACATACACACACATACATACAAACATACATACATACATCCATCCATACATACATACATACATACATGCACACATATACATATATAGATTGCTCTTCCTATATTTTTACAAGCCCGGGGGGAGGGGGACCCCCCCCCAAAACAAAAAAAACTACATGACCCCTGGGATCTGGGGTTCTCGGGCTCCCTTGGACGTCCTTGGAAAAGGTCACCCGGCTTTCCGGGTCTCCACAAACGCCTTGCCAGCAGACCCAGAGCGATCCGAGGAATCACCAAGAAAGGCCCAAGGAAGGCTCCATACAGCACAAGAGCGCTCCAAGAGGGACTCCAATTGCGTCAATACGGCCCAAAAGACCCCCAGGGCACCCCAAAAAGCTTCCCAAGGGGCCTTCAAAGCACAAAAGTCGTCCCATTCCTTTTGTAAAACGTACCATTTTAGCATATTCGCCTTTCGGATTTCAAGACGGTTTCAAAGCCCCCGAGATCGCCTCCAGACGCCCCAAAAGGCCCCCTAGAAAGCTTCAAGACGGCCGAGCCGGGCCCCACGATCGCCCACGAGAGCCCCAAGACAGCCCATAATGGAACCAAGAGGCCCCCCAAGGGCTCCCAGCACAGACCCAAAAGGGCCATGGGAGGTCCCCGGAAGTGCCCAAGATGGGTCCAAAGGGGGCTCCAGCGGGCCCAAGCTCCCCAAGACGGCCCAAGAAGGCCCCAGGACGGCCCATGAAGGCGCCAAAACGGCCCACGAGGGCCCCGAAAACACCCCCACGATGTTTCCGAATGCCAACATAAAGACCCCCAAGGCACCCCAAAAAGCTTTCCAAGGGGCCTTCAAAGCACAAAATCGTCCCATTCCCTTCGTAAAACTTACAATTTTAGCATATTCGCCTTTCGGATTTCATCAGCTTTCAAGACGGTTTCAAAGCCCCCGAGATCGCCTCAAGACGCCCCAAAAGGCCCCCAAGAAAGCTTCAAGACGGCCGAGCCGGGCCCCACGATCGCCCACGAGAGCCCCAAGACAGCCCATAATGGAACCAAGAGGCCCCCCAAGGGCTCCCAGCACAGACCCAAAAGGGCCATGGGAGGTCCCCGGAAGTGCCCAAGATGGGTCCAAAGGGGGCTCCAGCGGGCCCAAGCTCCCCAAGACTGCCCAAAAAGGCCCCAGGACGGCCCATGAAGCGCCAAAACGGCCCACGAGGGCCCCAAAACACCCCACGATGCTTCCAATGCCAACATAAAGACCCCCAAGGCACCCCAAAAAGCTTTCCAAGGGGCCTTCAAAGCACAAAAGTCCAATTTTAGCATATTCGCCTTTCGGATTTCATCAGCTTTCAAGACGGTTTTTCAAAGCCCCCGAGATCGCCTCAAGACGCCCCAAAAGGCACCCAAGAAAGCTTCAAGACGGTCGAGCCGGGCCCCACGATCGCCCACGAGAGCCCCAAGACAGCCCATCATGGAACCAAGAGGCCCCCCAAGGGCTCCCAGCACAGACCCAAAAGGGCCATGGGAGGTCCCCGGAAGTGCCCAAGATGGGTCCAACGGGGGCTCCAGCGGGCCCAAGCTCCCCAAGACGGCCCAAGAAGGCCCCAGGACGGCCCATGAAGGCGCCAAAACGGCCCACGAGGCCCCCGAAAACACCCCCACGATGCTTCCCAATGCCAACATTCATTGATTTTGCTCCCATGACATTTCACATTGTGACCCAGTCGTTGAGGGTCTCGTGGCATGCAGCGAAGATGCCCGAGGATGCCCCGTACGAGTTGCATATGCATGTTCATATCCTTACACACATAAAATTATATGTACATATGTACGCTGTATACACATACAAAAATGTAAATATATTGTATACACCTAGACATGTATACGGAACGTGCATGCGCGTGCGCGTGCACGTTCCGCTTGCGCAGAACTCAAAGGACCAAGGTACACGGCGCGCAGCGCCAATGCAGTCTTGTACATATATATATAGAGAGAGAGAGAGAGATGTCCGTGTGTAGACGGGAAAACCACGGGACAACCACGAAACAACAATCGGACAACCTCAGAGCGACCGCGGGACAACCACGGGACGTCCACTGAACAACCACACAAAAACCGCGGGACAACCGCGGGACAACCACGAGACAATCACGGGACACTCACGGAATAACCATGGACAACCACGAGACGACCACAAACCAACAACAAGCCAACCACCAAACAACTACGGGGTAGCCATGGGACAACCACGGCACGACCACGGGACAACCGCGGGACAACCACGGGAACAACATTACAACCGCAAGACAAACCCAAGCCAACCACAGAACAACCACGGGACAACCACGGGGCAATCAAGGGACATCTGTTTTACAACCGCGGGACAACCATGGGACAAACACGTAATAACCGCGGGACATCGATTGGACATCCACGGGACAAACATGGGACAGAAACTGGACAACCGCAAGACCACTCCGCGCCACGGCACCACCATGGGGCAACCCAACGCACGCCTCGAAATGCTCGGCTAATGTCTGAGCGTGGGCCCATACGCACGACACGGACCGAAACCAAAACCGATTTCCCGGTTGGGCGACTCCGTTTCACTTCGGTCTCACCTCCAAACCTCCAATCCTTCCACACCGCAACGCCTCTTATAGAACACCGTAAACACCCTGAAACAATAGACCCTTCATCCCTTACCTCCTCGTCCTCCTCCTCCTCCTCCTCTCCTCCTACTCCTTCGCCCACCCTGCCCCAGACTCTAAGGGACCTTGCTGGAGCTACTCGCTCTTCTCGTGCGTCGAAGCTGCGTCGAACGTCTTTCGACTCGAATCGAACCTGAGCCGAACCTGAGTCGAACCAGAATCGAACCTGACTCGAACTTGAGTCCAGTTTGAATAAAACTAGAATCGAACTCGAGTCGAAGAGTTCAGTGAGATGGACCCCAGCAAAACCTCCCAAACGAACATCTAACCCGTCCCATCTTCTCCGCCTCCTCAAAGCCTGTCCTCGGTGGCGGCGAGGACGGTCTCCCGGTCCGCCGTGAAGCGGCCTGTCGCTGCAGCCGTGACGATCTCACCGGAGGAACGAAGACACCGTGCGGAAAGATGAGCGGAGCGGGAGCAAAACACAACGGAAACGGCCAGAAGAAAACGGAAATCAGGGGGGATGTTGCCACCCGTGGCCCTGGCCGAACGTGGCATCAGCTTCTCCGCGGGGCCCAGGAACGTCAAGGGAGATGTGAAACTCGGGTTCTGGGGGCTCGGGTTGGCTTGACAGAGCTGTCAGGAAAATGACGAGACCCAGTCTGAAATTTGATGCGAGCTCCCACTGGAAACATCCCACGAAAACTGGACAGTCACAGGCCCATCAGAATTCGCTGGCAAATCCAAATATCAGCGCACTCGAAGTCAGAGTGCTCCCCGACAGGAGGGGTTCTGGATAGCCCCCCACGAGGCCCAAATGACCTCAAGTTCCCAAAATGGCACGGAAAGCTGAGAAGGGGCACCCTTCGGGAACCCTACGAAAGAACGGGACCTGGGGCGAAGTGTGAAGCCTGGCGCAAGCAGGTGTCTGGAGTCGGCGGCGGTCGGCGCTGGTAGTTGCACCTGGCACAAGAATGCCAGCATGCCTGTTCCGAAAAGTGGGGGCTCGTAAAAGGACGCAGTCGGACCAGTTGAGGGACGCAGCCAGACTAGCAAACATGACGAAACATCGCTAACACCCCGCTCCAACCGCGGCACCATGTCGCATGATGTGCAATGCGCTGATCCAAGGTCATGGAACGAACCTTTTTCCGCGTCAAGCGTTTGAGAGAACAGGCATGGCCTGGGCTGGCGAACATGACGATGCTGGTGATGTCGATGGTGATGTGAAATGCGACGACGACGATGACAATGATGGTGGTAATGATGGTAATAATGCTGACGATGGTGATGCTGCCACTGATGATGATGCTGATGCTGATGGTGATGATGATGATGATGATGTTGATGATCGGGACCTTGGTCGGCCACCAAGTCCGACAAGCGTGCTCGCGTAGCCACGGTTGAATGATGGGACCAGCCTACTACATGCGCGAACGCGCGCAGCTCAAAACGATGTAGCTCACGGCGGCAATAGCGGCAGCAGAAATCAAGAGAGAAGCGGCCTCCAACATGGGCCAGAAGCTTATGTTGAATTCGCACATGTGGCTCAGCAGCGCGCTCACCCCAGCTGTAGCCACTCCGCCTCGGAGTCCCCCACCTGCTGGCGCCGCGGCGCCCCGAACATCCGCTCGACAGTGGGGTGCCGACCTACGGACACGCTGGATGCGGTACCTCCTGCTGCTGCCGCTGACGTTGTCCTCGGGGTCGCTGGCCATCAGCAGGGAACTCTGCGCGGGCCATCAGCGGGAGTACTCGCCACACTTCTGGCACCCGATGATGCCGCCGCCGACGAACACGGTGCGCGCCCCAGCGGCGCAGCAGGGGCGCGAGGGACTCGATCAGTCACAGATATCATGCCACCACGTTGCCCCTTGGGCGGCGGCGGTTATCTTGGTTGGCACAGGTCGCTCGGCGCTTTCGACCGCCATCAAGGCGCTGAGCTACCCCTGCTGGCTGCGCTGCGGGTGGCGGCCGCTGCCTACGTCAGGGCTCTCGCCCTGCTGGTCTCGCTGGCCGCCTTTCCCTGCGCTGAGCTGCGCCGCGGCCGCCGCCAGGGCCGCAACTGCAATCGCAGCGTGCGGAATCGTCGTCGTCGCAGGACCGGTCTCCGCCTGCGTCCTGACTGTCCTTGGCTCCGTGTCCAGCGTTACGTCGGGGTCGCGGCGATTTGGGCAGGGGCCCGCGTCGCAATGCAGGTGCGCCACGAACTTCTTCACGCGCCCTTTCTTCCTCCCTGTGTGTGTGCCCCCGCTGATCCCTCGCGGAAAGGTGCCCTCTGCCGAACCCTTCCAGCTGGCTCGGCGAACGCTGCGAACCGCCGAGGTCCCGCCGGCAATACATGGCGACTCCGTTGAGCTTGCGGGGCGGCCCCGTGGGCGGAAAATACAATCCTCAGCCATATGCGCTCCGCGTTGGGAACGGGGGCAGCCATGCGCCCCTGCGCGATGGCGAAGGTCTGCGACCACGACAAGCAGCGCAAGCGGTGCGGCTCGCCGCGCTGCCATGCTGTGACACATATCTCCATGGCCAGCTGAGCAGCAGTCTTGCGAGTCCTCGCCGTCGCGTTGTCGAAGCGGCTGGCCTGGAAGATTTCTTAAGTCATTGTCTGCTCCGATTCTTCTTGTGCCCAGGCACATTTGTCAGGAGCGGCTGTCCCGGGCAATCTCGGCGACGCGCGGCGCGCGCCTATTTGCAGGGGTCGCCCTCAGCGGCGGCTTGCAAGTTGAGCAGTCCGTGGGCCCAGGGGCGTCTCCAGTCCCGCGCGGATCGAGTTGCCGCGGCTGCGGCGATCGCTCATCAAGCCGATCTCTGCGCCCGTTCATCTTGCTGTTGTTCGCCGCCGCCGCCTCCAAATAGCCGGCGCGGTCACGTCGCGCCGTCTTCTCCCCCCCGTTCAGCGCTGCCGGCAACGTCTGGCGGGGCACCGGGGCAGTCGGGCGGTCGCAGCGTTGCCGACCGCGCTCCAACGCCTACGAGGGGCGCCGCAGCCGCAGCGCCAGCGACGAGCTGGACCCCGGCGCGCTCCCTCGTAGCTCTCATGCTGGCAGTGGCCTTTCTGGCCACGGCAGCATGGTGGCCACATCTGCGCTCCCGGCCGCGCCCAGCGGCCCGCTGCCTTCCTCGCTGGCGCCGAGCCGCTCTCCATGACTTCGGGGCGCCTTCTTCATGTCCTGCGCCTGAGAGCTCGCCGCTGGGCTGTCGGGTGGCCGCCGCTGCGGTCCCGACCGCGCTCTCGGGCCCCCCATCGGTCCTTCTCTGGCCACCTGGTCTACGTCACGGACCTCATTCGCTGCCACCGCTGAGACTCGCGCCCCGCAGCGCCGCTTGACCAGCGCCTCTGCCCGCATCTCCGCATGTGCCTTCTTCGCGAATCGCGCGCAGCTCCAAGTGCGCCCAGCCAAGAGCATGGCGCGGCACTCGCCAGGATGTGGGCTGGGTAACGCGCGCGCCTGGTTGCCACGCGCGTCGCCGAACCGTCCGCCTCACTGCGCGCCGCCCATTCTTCTTCGCGGACGGTGCTTTGCCAGCTTGCAGCGATCGGCCTGACCTGCCAAAGCATGGCCTGCGCCCTGTCAACAACGGGGCCGTCTAAGTCGCGCGAGTCCGTGCCCGGGTTGGCCACGGCGCGTGCCCAGTCGTTGCCTTGCTTGTGGGCGTCCTGGCTCTGTAACCCCCCGGCGCGCATCACCTACGCGCCGCCGCCCCTGTCCGAGGCTGAAGAAGGGGTGCCAAACGAGCCCCCAAGTAGCTCTGTTGGCCCTCGCTGGGGCCGTGGCTCACCCCACCCCGCGCTGCATTCCCATGACAAACGGCAGTTGGTCTGAGAGCGACATGATGGGTGGCACCACAATGCGAATCATCGGCAGCGCAAACCACTGCTCCGCCCCTGGAGACGTCTGCACTCGGGCAGGGAGCGTTCCGCGCGCGCCCGCGACTGCGTGCCCACTTGAAGATCGCCGCAAAGCCCAATCCCGAAATGTTGGTATCAGGCCAGAACAAGCACCTCCAGCAGCTCCCGTAACAGTAGGCGTACCACGCGGTCATGGTGTCGCGGCCACTAAGCCAGCGCCCCCATGCGCCGCTGCCATATCATGGCGGCGGCGGCGGCAGGTCCGCTCAGCAGAAGGGCACTCGTGCAGTAACGGTCGTCGGGATGCGCATCCTTCGCCTGCTGCGCCACGGCGGGCCCGAAGCTGCGTTCCCGAATGTCCGCGGTGGCGCAGCGCCGTCAGGGTCGATTGCGCGGGGCGCCTGCCTGGCCGCGGACGAAGCACACGTCGTGGCTAGGCGCGCATGTAGACAGACCATCATCCTCTTCTGGCTCCAGTGGGCCTCAATGGCGACTGGCCTGCGGGCGCCCTTAGCTGCGTCGTCGTGCAACCTGCTCGTCCTCCGTCTCTGCCGAACGAGCTCCGCCAGTGGCTCCATCCAGCTACCCCCCAAGCGTCCACGGAAGTGAGCTCCCTTCTGGTGCCGCGTCGGCCCTGGTGGCCCACCCCTACCGCCCGGCTTCCGGTAAACCCCCCATGGGCAGCGCCCGCGCTGCAGATGGCGTCTCGCGGTCGAAGTGCGGCGCCTCGCCCTCTCCAACCCGTCGGCGAGGACGAGATCCATGCGATGGCTTGGTCGGCCATGATTGCGCCGCATGTCGGCCCCGCGACTCTGGACCACTGGTTCCCATCGTCGCTCGAGCGTTGTTGGCTCTTGTTCCACGCCGCCAGCGCGACCGGCTTTTCGACCCTTTGCTCGGCGACCGGCGTGGCCCATCGGAAGATCGGCCCTGCCCGCGCAGCAATGTGCGGGTCGCAGGCGCCGTCCAGGATGGCGATGGGCCACTTCAAAGCCGTCGGAAGCACGCGCCCACGGGCCCCCTGCCGAACGCGCTGCATCTGCTTGGTCGCCGTCGGGGGAGAGCTTGCCAGGCCGTGTTCCACGGCGGCCAGGGCCCCCGCCTGTGCAATCCAATCTCGCCGAGTCCGCGCCCCCGCGCGCGCAGCTGTCGGCAAAACCGCAGCCTGGCACTTGAATCGCTGACCCGCCTGCGGCTCGTCGCGCGCCCGATCGGCCGGCCTGGCCCCCCGCGCCGAGAACGTTCATCGCGTCAACGCATAGGAACAAACCCCCTCTCCGCGGGCAGCCTCGCAGTGCGTCGGCCGACCGCCGGGCCCGATGACGTCAGCGGCGCACGCCCAGCGGCCAGGTTATCTCGAGGCAGGGGGCCCAGGCCAGATCCACCAGCATCTCGCAGGCGCGCTGAATGATGGCACGCGCGCGGGCCTTCGCGGCCCCAGTGAAGTCCCCCGCGAAGCCGTCGAGAAAACGCGCGTGCAGGGGGCGCCGCGCGTCTGCTCGGGCAGTTGGCGAGTGGCCCATCGCGCGCCCACCAGGAGGAGGCCCACGGCGATGCCAAGCCCGGGGGGCATTCGCGGCGCCGGCCTGGCCCCTGCACTGGCCCCAGGGCAATATGCAAATAACTCTGGCTTGATTTGGCGAGTCTGAACCCCGTCCATGGGCAGCGCCCCCCAGCCGCATGTCGAGCACCCCCCCCAAGACCGTCGGTCGCCGTTGCCAGCGGGCCGAAGTGCTCGCAGACAAGGTTCGAACCCTCCACCGCCAGGCCAACGACGTTCTTAGGGATGGCTGCGCCCTTCGGCTCGAGCACCTTCCGCTGTTTCGCCAGCGCAAGGCGCGCGGGGAGGCCCAGGACAATGGTGCGAGGCGCAGAGAGGGCCGTCCACAGACCGTTGCCAGGCTCGCGAGGATCTCGCCACGCGCGAAAGCTAGGGGCGCGACGTTGGATGGCGCGCCACCCGCCACCATTCCCACGCACTTGGGCCATTCGGCCCTGGCAGCAGGGAGAACCACCCCCAGCGCCCGTCGCGACGCCCACCCAAAACTCGCCAGAGAGCTCGCGGCGACTGTGCCTTGCCAACCTGATGTCTTCCACGAAGGCCACTGCGCGCCCCGGCCAAAACTGCGCCTCGCGGCGCCGCGCCCCGCGCCCCGTCGACGCTGGGCTTCTTCGCGTGGAAGGGCTGCAGAACGCGACGTTGCCGAGGCCTTCGCTGGGCGCGCGCGACCACGGGCAAGGCGCGAGCGCGGGCCATGCGCCCGCTGGCATCGGCTTTGCCGGAGTCGACGCGATAGCCAGCGCAGCCCACCAAGAGTCTAGCATAAAGCACCTCTGCGAAGTGGGCCTGCGCGCCGCCCCTTCCGCGATAACCAGCGCGCCCACGACGCGCCCGCAGCTCGTTAAGCGCAGCCTTCGCGCATGAGCTCGTCAAAGAGCCTGTGCCAGTCGCCTCCGGTGATGTAGGGCCGTGCGAAGCGGGCCACCGTGTCCACCACCTTCTGGACGATGGTGACCTTTCCGTCGTTGAGCCCCTTCTGTCCTAGAAGTGTGCCGAAACGTCTATGCGGCCGCCGATTCATGGCCAAGTCAATCAGATGGCGAGGACCGATGCCTGACCGCGGCGTCGCCCTCGCCGAACGGCGCGCCCTCCGGGCGCGTCGCCGACGCGCCCGATCGAGCTGCGACGGAAAATCCAGCGGTGGGGCCCAGCGCTCTGTCCGCCCACACTCATCAAGGAAAGGGTGCCGGTTGCTTCTGGCTCACCATTCTCGCGTTCGCAGCATCTCCTCCATTCAGCCTCAGCGCCTGCGGGGCCACAATCTGCGCTGCCGCGCCGGGGTCGCTGAGGAACTCTTGATGCACGTGTGACCTTTCGGCTTGTCAGGCAGGGGGCCGAGGCTGAAACGCGTTCGCTGGGCTGCCTTGGCCAACATCGGCCGCGCCTCCTGGGCTGCCTGGACTGGTTGCTACAACTGCTGCTGGCCCTGGGTGGGGCCGTTGCTGGTGGTCCCCCTGGGCCACCGGGCCCGCGGTGCCCATCGGGGCCAGGAGCAGGCGCGCCGAGGGCCGCGGCTTCGCCTGCCAGCCCGCGCGGCAGCGGCCCACTCTGCTCCCGGATGAGCTCGGGGAGGGCAGCGGAGCTCCCATCCTGGATCGCGAGGTCGGCGTTGGCGAGCAGTGCTCTGACAGCTTCGCGGGCTTTGCCGACATTGGGCACTCCTCCGCTGCATGGTATGCCGCAGGCGCCGCGACCTCGCCACTCTCAGCTGCCGCCGCCGCTTGCGCTGGTGACAAGGCTTGCATGTGCTTCTCCAGCTCGGGCTTCTGGCGCTTAACCTCTTTCTCCAAAACATCGCTGTCCTGCCTTATGCTAATGGCGGTCCTCTCGCACACTCCACGGCGCCGTGGAGGGCGTGCTCGAGCTCCTCGAACGCAAATGCTTGTCTTTCGTAAGCTTCCGAATTTGTTTAATCTTGCAGAGCAGCAGGAGGCACGGACGACTCCTCCAAGTTGCCCAATTTGCGCAAGTCCGCGACTGCCTTGCGATGCCTTGCCGTAGCCACTGCCGTGGTATCCACGGTTTCCAATTTCATCCCATCCGACGCAGGACGCGAAGATCGGAGGCTCGGGGCCCGACTACTAGGGCGACGAAAACACCCGCCTGATAAGCAACATCGCCTCACGTACAAGGCCCTGGTCGCCGCCTTTTGTTTCACCCGCATCGCAGGCAGTGGGTCCCCCCCCCATTACCCGTGACGCCACGTTACTGTCGCTGCGCGTGCCCATGTCGATACAGCTACCCGTGAAGACGACCTCGTTGCCTACGGTGGCTGATCACTATCGTTGCCGCCATGCGGCTCCTGGCGAGCGAGAGTCGACACATCCCTTAGCATGGGCGAGCACCGCTTGCGGAACTGGTCCGTGATGACGCCGAAGACGTTCCACAGCGCGAAAAACGTGGTGAGCACGTAGCTGTAGCCGACCGCGGCGCCGCTGGCGCCGCAACAAACGATGCCACGCGGGAAATTGATAACACGCCTGCGCAGGAGGCAGGCTGGGGGCCACGCGGCCGGGACCTCGCAGGGACTGGCCTTGTCCAAAACAGGTCCGATCCCAAATGGCTGCCTATGATGATGATGATGGGGATGACGATGGTGATGATAGTGGTGGGATTGGACTCGGAGGGGGGAAGAGGCAGGGAGGGATCAGGTTTAAGAGGAGGGCTCTGAGTTCAGAAGACTCCTGGGAGTTCAAAAAGGCCAGGTGGCAGGGGAAGGAAGAGGAGCATGAATCGAGCAGACGAAACTGGTGCAGAGGCAACGGAAGAACGATGAAAAGGAACTTTCGGAGGTGTCTAAACAGTGCCTGCGGCTTCATTAGAGCGATTCTCCACGAATCGCGATAGTGGCCGTTACCGGGGATACTCCCCCCGTCCCCCCCCCTGCTAACGTCACGGTTCGCGCCGGCGCCGTTTGGGAATCCCGAACTACGGGTAGCCAGTCCCCAGGAGGCGCGATCGCGAATCGTGACATGACCAGCCCGCTCTCTCCCCCCGCCGGTAACGGCCATCATCGCCAGGGGATGTAAAAAACGGGCCCTAGGTTGTAATCAAACGGTTTCCAGCAAGTTCCTGGTGCCTACCGAAGATTATGGACATGTCCTGAGGGCGGACGGGTGTGATGAGAGCACGGAAAGGTAACGGAAAGATTCCCGACGTTCTCTGAAAACATCGGGTGGCTGGATCTTCTGAGTCTGAGATTGTGGGACGGCACGTTTCGGCCCCCAGGACTCGCACATAAACAGACCCCCTGGGGCTCTGGATCGGACATGTCGCTGAGCTCTTCGACTTGGAACACAACAAAACAACAAATCGATACCTCCAGCTAATACCATATGAAACAATTACCACATATGGGCTCTGCGGAAAAAGGGAGAAGGATGCAAACCAGATCGCAGGGAAAAGGCGTTTGGGGATCACCGGTGCTCCTCGCTCTGCCTCCCTCCGCCTCACTCCCCATCCCTTCTCGGTATCACTTCTCATCCTCTCTCCGATTCCCTCCTCGTTCCGCCTCCCGCTCTCTCACTCCTCTCCCCCCCACTCCCTCCTCCACATTCCTCCTACAGTGGTTAAGGAGTCTGCCTGCCCACACTAGAGATGCGCAGCATGCTGCGGGGCGGAAGGTTGGGAAAGGGAGGGGGGGGCAGCGGACCTCTTGGAAAGCCTCTAGAACGCCTCGCTGAGGTGGTTTGATGTCTTGGGGGCCTCTCGGGGGCCTTCCTGGGACCTTGGGACTTGATTTGGGACTCCTGGGGGCCTCCTGGGGGGCCTCTTTTCGGAGCTTGCTGGGAGGGCTCCGTTCCCCTGTGCATCATGCTAACGGGCGGGATGAAGGCGAGAACGAGGGAGGGAGGTGCAGCCGCCGCCCCCCCTGCTCTTCCCCTCCGAGCCCTTCCTCTCCCCCCGTCCTCGCCCTCAATCGGCGAAGTCGCGGAAATCGGTCCGCGGGCGGGCCTTTACCCAAAAGGTGGTATCTATAGTGGTTCGCGGCCGTGGCGGTGGGCTTGGTCGCCTGTCCGCCCATGTCTCCACCCCTCATCTCCCTGCCGCTGGAGCGCGATGCCAGCCTCGCTGAGGCAGGAAAGGAAAAGGTGGCCACATGAGTATAAGGACTTCTCGGGTGATCTTAGGAGGAGAGTGATTGGGTTCAGGGGAATTCAAAAGGGATGCCCTGCGCTGCGAAAGCCATCAGAACTGAAGCGCGCTGGATGCCTGAATGAGATACAGAGGTCGCACAAGGAATTGCGAATGCTCCTCACGAGAAGCATACCCTCCTGGCAGAATGGCTGCAGTGCGAACAACATCGTTGCTGCCTGCGGTCCTGTCCTTTTCCGTGCCTGCCTGCTAACATAATGATCTGGGCATGTGCCACGCGAACATTCCAACTACATAATCCGCATCGTAAAAACAAACCGCGGGCTCTTCATCATAATATACTCTGTCTCTGAATCCGTCACAGAGTCGCGAAGCACCGGGTAGTGTCACCAGGTCCCTTCTGGAGTCCGCAGTATGGAGCGACGTAAAGCGAACATGCGAATGAAAAGGCACAGACCCCCGCATGACGGGCATTGGGCACTCTAGGGCGTATCCGCGCGACTATTCAGGCCATGGACGTGCGGTTGGGGCGCTCAACCTCCAATATTCCCTGAAAGCTTGCCATCGCTCGAGGTCCGTTCCCCCTGCGATCGAGCGTTGTCTTTTCGCCAGATGATGCAGGAGGCTCCCCGATGGTCCTCGCCGAGACCAAAATGCACACGTCCAAGCGCTGCCGAGTTTATGGAGTCCTCACTGTGGAATGCCGTAAATCGGAAATGCCCGACGAAGGCCCAAACCCTAGAATAGCAGGCACCTCTGGGCACTCTCGGGTGCATCCCGCGAAGCTACTCAGGCCACGAACTACAGTCCGCCGGCCCCCTTGTGGGGCCACCAGGCTGTAGGCCGAAGCTTCGCAGTTTCCTGTACCAGCTGCAGCTTCCAGTTTCTACTGTTACAGTTCTGACTCTTGCTGCTTACTGTTCCTTGTTACAGTTATGCTTCTTGCTGCTTACTGCTCCTTGTTGATGGACCGCGCGAGCGGGGGAGGCCCAAAACGGGCATTTTTACCACGCCCTGAGCGTGTTGTCTGACTTGCTGGGGTGGGTACAAATTTACACCCCTCACGCAGATCGGCAGGGTCAGGGTCCAAAAACATAAAGGATTTGCCACATTTCTGAAATTCGGTGGCACCCCTCATGCAGATCGGCGAGTTGAGGGTGCAAACACACTAAGGATTTGCCACATGTCTGAAACTCGGTGGCACCCCTCACGCAGATCGATGGGGTCAGGGTGCGAAAACACAAAGGATTTGCCACATTTCTGAGATTCGGTGACACCCCTCACGCAGATCGGCAAGGTCAGGGTCCAAAAACACCAGGGATTTGCCACATGTCTGAAATCCGGTGGCACCCCTCACGCAAATCCGTAGGGTCAGGGTCCAAAAACACAAAGGATTTGCAACATGTCTGAAATTCGGTGGCACCCCTCACATAGATCGGTGGGGTCAGGGTGCGAAAACACAAAGGATTTGCCACATTTCTGAGATTCGGTGACACCCCTCACGCAGATCAGCAAGGTCAGGGTCCAAAAATACAAGGGATTTGCGACATGTCTGAAATTCGGTGGCACCCCTCACGCAGATCCGTAGGGTCAGGGTCCAAAAACACAAGGGAGTTGCCACATTTCTGAAATTCGGTGGCACCCGTGACGCAGATCCGTAGGGTCAGGGTCGAAAAACAAACAGGTCCCGACACTGCTTCACGGCGGCGCCCAGACCTCATGATTTAGCTTTTGCATCTCCCATTATCCGAGACAGGGGGCCGGCGGCATGGGGCGAAGCCCTTACGGATATTCCATGAAACCTTGCCATCGCTCGGACGTGCATTCACCGTGCATGTTTCGGCTTTGTTTCTCGCCAGATGATCCAGGATGCTCCTGTCCTCGCCGAGAAGAGGTGCACACGTCCGAGCGATGCAAAGCTATGGACGCGTGGCTGGGGCTCTCAACCTCCAACGTTCTCGTGAAGTGTCCCAGGGGGCACGTGCTGGAGCCCTCTTGGAAATCTCTTGGGCCGTCTTCCAGGCCAGGTTGTGCACCTGATGCCGTCTTCCAGGCCCGTCTCCGTGCACTGGCGCGCCTGAGGGTGGCTCGCCAGGCCTGCAAGGTAGGCAGGTAACGAGCAATGCATAGACGATGTGTGGTAAAGGGAAGCATCCACGTGAGCCTCGAGCGGCGTGCGTCGCAGCCACCGCCGCACGCGGCAGAAACATAGGATGTCTGCTCGGAGTTCCTGGATCGGAGGTCCGCGCGGAGTTCTTGAATCGGGGCTGGACCCCCCGCTGGCGCGCAGAACGCGCCACGGGCGGCGCAAAGGCACCGCCAGGGGAGCCCAGCGCAGATCCAAGGAATCCGCGCGGACCATCGAACACGCATGTGTTTGCAAGCATTGTTCTTACTCGAAGCATCGCAACTTGTTGGTCTACAGAGCGTCCAAGACAGCACGCAAGGCCCTCAAGATGGACCCACAATGGGGCCAAACACGGGGAACTCGAACTGACATTAGCTGCTCCGCTCAACCACAAATCCTGGCGGTTCCCGACCTCCGCCCACATCGCCCCAAGCGAGCACCCAAGAGGCCCCCTCAGGCGCACGAGGCCTCCACGAGGCCCCAGAGAGGCGTCCAAGTCAGTGACCCCCAAGGTACCTTCTGAGAGCCCCAAGTGGCCTCAAAGAGATCCTTTGTACACCAATTAGGCTATTCCATCCGCCGCCCCCTGTTCATTGCAAGAGGCACTGCTCGCATGCAAGAGTTGTGGCGGCGTTGGCCTCCCAAGCTCTGATTGAGGTCTCGGCCGTTCCCGCACAAAAAAGAGGCGGGGGTTGTTCACGCCTACGATGGCGCAGGCGGCACAAGATGGCCTCCAAGGCGCCCAAGATGATACCAAGAGGGCTCGAGATTGGTCCGAGATCGCCCAAGACGGCCAACGAGGATCTCCAAGAGGGCCCGAAGACGCCAAACATGTTCACTTTATGTAGGTGTCCGACTGCAGTTGGCGCTCGCTACTTGAGTTTGAGCTTCTGACCATGATCCAAAAGGTCCCAACGATGGCCCCAAGGCGGCCCATGACGCCTCCAAGTAGCTCCCCAGAGAGCCCGAACACGGCCCAAGAAGAGCCCCACCCCAGTAGGGCCCCAAGACGGCCCAAGAGACCGCCAAGACGGCTTTCGGACGCCCCAAAGACGGCCAAGGTGGCACCAAGACTGCCCGAGATTGCCCCAAGATGGCCAAAGACGGCACCCGGGCCTCCGAGAGGACCCTCAGGAAGGCTCGAAGGGATCAGCATTGCTGATTTCCCTTAGGCGTTGGAATAATTATGGGACTATGGTATTCGGGACGGCTTAAGGAGGTCCCCTAGACGACCAAGAGACCTCCAAGAGGCCTTCAACACAGCCCTACAAAGTCCCCAGGCATATCCAAGACGTCGAAGATGGCCTCCAAGACGCCCATGATGGCACTACAACGGCCCACGATTGCCCCAAGATGGTCCAAGACGGCCCAAGAGGCTCTCTGACCTCCAAATCGGTCCAAAAGACCTGCAAGATTACCTTCAGGAGGGCCCGACAAATAAAACATGTGTGATGTGCATCGGGTTTTTGAAGAATTGTGCCGATTCCCTCGGAGTCCCCCACGAGGCCGCAAGGAGACCCCAAGAGGCATCGTTTTCGTATTCCTCCTCCGTCCCCTTCCTCTCCTCGTCCTCCCTTTTTCCTCCCACAAGTGCTTATTCCAGGGTTCCGACAACGCTGGGGGGCCACGTGAACCAACACCTTGGCAAGATTTCGGGCCAACGTTTGGCCACACAAGCGTTGCCAACAAGTTGGGGGCGGCGGTGGTTCGCCGCAACCATCTTCGACGAACATCCAAGCGCAACGCCCACCACTTCCACGGCGGCCCGCAAACGAAAGAGTTTTCAATCTGGGCGCTGCAGTCAAATCGCGAAAGGCCCGTTCCGCGCCGACTCCGCTCGGAGCCTCCGCCAGCAGGGGCATCAGAACTTGCAAACATCGCGAACCTTGCTGGACAATCCAACCAACGCCTCCCTGAACTCCGCCCCCATCCCGCACTCGAGCCACAGTTGGCGCAGTGGCAACTCGGCACCATGGGCGGCCAACGCCCGGCAAACGGTCACGCCGCCAGCGTCGCCCAATCCCGGGTTCCAGTTGAGGTCCAGCACCTGCAGAACGCACAGCTGCGGCAGCACCCCAGCGAGGGCCTCCGCAGTTTCCGCACCGAGGCCGCACTTGCGAAGCCTCAGCTCGCGCATCGGCGCCACGGAGCCAGGCACTGCCAGCGACCTGCAGACGGCCGCGCCGCCAGCGTCGCTCAGGCCAGGATTGCTGCCGAGGTCCAGCATCTCCAGGCCGCGCGCCTGCGACAGCAGCCTGGACAGGGCCTCCGCGGCACCCGCACCCAGGCTGCAGTTCCTTAAATACAGCTCGCGCAAGGTCACCCCTGCACCCTGCGCGGAAAGCCCCCGACAGACCGCCGCGCCGCCGGCGTCGCCCAGGCCCCTGTTGTCCTCGAGCCGCAGCACCTGCAGGTCGCGCAGCTGCGGCAACGACTCGCCCAGGGCGGTCGCAGCCTCAGAACCCAGGCTGCCCCTGTGAAGCCTCAGTTCGCGCATCGGCGCCTGGGCGCCCAGCGCCCGGCAGACGGCCGCGACCCCAGCGTCGCCTATGCCGCTGCTGTTGCCAAGGCTCAGCATCTGCAGATCGCGCAGCTGCAGCAGCGACTTGGCCAGGGCAACTGCGGCCGCCGCGCCCAGCCCGCAAGTGCCGAGAACCAGCTCGCGAAGGGGGAACGGAGCATCCAGCGCACGACAAATGGCCTCACCGCCCGCGTCGCCAAAGCCCTTGTTTCCACTGAGCCGCAAAACCTCCAAACCGCGCAATTGCGGTAGCAGCCGGGACAAGGCCCCCGCGGCCTCCAGGCCCAGCTCGGACCCTGCCAAACGCAAGACACGAAGCTGAGACAGGGAACTCATTTCGGAGAGGTTCTTCAACATGGCAGCTCCGCCAACATCGCCGACAGGGTTTGTGGTAACGGAAAGTACCTCCAAACTGCTACAACCGATCAGACACTGCCCCAACGCCTCTGCTTGCTTGCCGTTCAAACCACACTTGTTGATCTCGATGGCCCGGATGCTTTGCAGCTGCAGCTGGCGGGATATCACGTGCAAGAGGGCATCCCGCGCACAGTCCAGGGCCTCTGATTTCAGCAGCTCCACCAGACGGCTGGTGGCGGTGCTGTCCGTTGTGGCAACCTGGAACGTCATTATCAACGTCCTGCGTGCTTCGAGCTCAGCTCCCAACAAGTCCACACTAGAACAGGTAGTCTCGAGCGACGTCAACTGACCACCTCACCGATCGTGGCTGGGCCCATGGTCTTGGTTCGGTGCATAAGCCCTCTTTGCTTGGGCACGGAGGCCTCTAGTCACACCGATCCTGAGCCCAAGATCGAACGAGCCAGGATCGGTGAGGCGATCCGTTGGCGTCGCCCGAGTAGTGCGCACCAATTCCGCTCCTTCCAAGCCCCTCCACCGCACTAACTTGGAGCCGGCTGACAAATCCCCGCAGAGGTCGTGCAGGACGCCGGAGCCGAGCGCGAAAAGACCGCCAGAGCGCGCTGCGATCCCGAGGACGCGCTGGAGTGAATCGATGCTGCCCAGGTCGTCCGTGCCTGTCCATCCTGCCTGTGAGACCTGCTGCAAAGTCACGATGACATCCACCGTGGAGAGCTCGAACTCCTGGAGCGCGAGAGCCATGTCAACCGCCAAGCTGTAGGCGCGCTTCGCAACCGATCTGTCGTTGCTGCTGCCCTGCTTTGCGAGCTCCTGCGCCGCCCACTCGAACACTGAGCCAGATGCGAGGCGGACGCTCTCCTTCAAGGTCAACGCCTCTGCCACGCAATTCTGAAAGAACTCGTCATTCGTGAATCGCTCTGCCGGATGGTCAGTATGCACTGCCTCGGAGAATGCATTGTTCCTCGTGTCTTCATTTTTCCACCCTCTGGGGAGGGGGATGTCTTGATTCGTTCCCCTCGGAGTCTTTTTTGTTTTTCCCTCGGAGTCTCTTCTTTTCCCTTCGGGTCTTTTTGTTTCCCTCGGTTGTTTGTTTTCCCTCGGGTTTTGTTTTCCCTCGGGGAAGGGGGCAGGGGGGGGCCGGGGGGGGGGCAAGGGCTTCGAGGCTTGTTTCCCCTCTTGGGGGGAGGGGCTCGGGAAGGGCAAGCCAGGGACGCCTGGCGGGCGCTCCAGCTCGGTCCCTGCCCACCGGGGCTCCAATGTGCCGGCCCAACGGACGGACAAGAGGCGTGCGAAAATGATCTTTAGTAATAGGTTTTGAATATTTCTAATTCGCGCGCGCGTGGCAACCCCTGGGTAAAACCTAAAATACGTAAAATGCCATGTATTCGCTTCCGGCGCACTTCGTGTTGCCGGCGTTGTTGCAAGGAAGCCCATTCCGAGCAAGCCAGCTCGCGACAAATTGACGAACATCGCAAATGCAAACGAGCGTCACCGATGAAGTGCACAAAAATCGCATGTCAACACAAATTGGACGTCGAGGACAATTCATTAAAAAGCAAACATTATCGGCCCACGAACTCGGAAATGGATGGAAATGTGTAGCAGGGAAAAGTTTCAAAATACCAAGCTTGGGCGACGGGAAATTACACATCCCCTCAGCGCAAATATTTCTACTTGCGATGACCCCGACGACCTCATGTTTGATATCCTCCTGGGCGACCATGACACGTGAAACTAAGCGTTCCGCTCGACACCTTCTCAGCAAATCCTCATGTTAGGGATACGCCGGCCTTGGCGCCAGAATCCTGACCGAACTGATTTGAATATTAAGCTCCAGCTGCCTGAACGAATAGTTCGGACTAGTTGCAATCGAAACGCGCGGGGCGCTCGATCAGCTCGAGACCAAGATCCGATTCAGTTCCGAAACCCTCGCTCGAGACATCCTCACAACTTGCTCGCCACACCACATGTTGGATATCCCCGTGTGTGGCCTGGACGCGTGAACACGCAGCAAATTCAAAACACAAAACGCATGTGACATCCCCATCCGCGCGAATGAAAACAAGCGTTTCGCTAGAGACACCCCGAACACATCTTGCTGAAAAAACTTCTCGCTAGGGACACATCCTCAACTCATCCTCTTTTTAGCGACCCGCCTGGGCGACCTGGACTCGTGACAACCAGCGTTTCGCTAAAGAGATCGAAGAGATCGTGAACACATCCCCATGTTCAGGCATGTTGGAGATCCGCCTGGGTGACCCCCTTGGTGGCCTGAACACAGACATGTTAGCTAGCCCTCCTGTGGCCTGGACACGCGAAAACGCGCGGTTTCAGCTCGGAACCGCCATGTTAGATACCCTCCCATGTGGGACGTGGTTCCAACTCGGGGCCGCCATGTTAGATACTTCCTGGGCGGCGCGGACACATGACAACACATGGTCTCAGCTAGGAAACACCATGTTATATACCGCATCTGGGTGGCCAGGACACGTGAAAACACGTGTCTCCAGCTCGGGACCGCCATGCCAGAGACCTTCCCAGTGTAGCCTGGACACGTATTTGTCCAGCCGGGGGCAACCATGTTAGATACCCCGTCGGGCGGCCTGGACACATAAAAACACATGGCTCCGACAAGGGAATTCCGTGTTCGACACCCCCGTGGGTGGCGTGGGTACGTGGAAACACGTGGTCCCAACTCTGGGCAACCATGCTGGATACCACCACGGGTGGCCTGGACACATAAAACAGACATGGTTCCAGCTGGGGGCAACCATGTTCGATTCCCCCGTGGATGGCCTGGACACGCAAAAAACAAACAATACGAGTCCAACTCGGGACCACCATGCCAGATACGTACCCCAATGGGAAAACTGGAAAAACACAAGACGGAGAAATCGGGCCACATGATTGCGCAAATGGTGTCGGATTAGAAAGTTGCTCCGACCGTTGTGCCCCCTCTGTGGGCTCCCCAGACGACCACATATAGAAAACGGGTTGCTCGGACACGTATAGAACACGTGGTTCCAGCTCGGGGTAATCATATTCGATACCCAGTTGGGTGGCTTCGGAACCAAAGCAACACGTGGTTCCAGCCCAGAGCCACCATGATAGATACCTCCGTGGGTGACCAAAACACGTCAAAACACGTGGGTCCAGCCCGGGGCCGCCATTTCAGATACCACCCTGCGGGGCCTCGACACGTGAACAAAACATGGTGTCAGCTGGGGGCGACAAAGGTAGATACCCCTCCTTAGTGGCCTGGACACGTAAGCGCAGTGGCTCCAGCTCGGGGCCACCATGTTAGATACCCCATCGGGGGAGCCTGCACACGCCAAAACACATTGTGGTCCCATGATAGTACGACAGCTCGGTCTTAGGGCAGTCGGGTCTTAGGAAATGACGGTCCCAAGGTGCGATTTGACTCCCGGGCTCCCAGGGCATTGCATCCATCAAATATGAATATCTGGCGAAAGTGCGAGCAGCCTTTTCAGCACATCGAACTGCGCTCCAGAAGGAGGGCCGCCAGGCCCCGTTCCCCTGAACCAAAAAGAATGCAGGAGGAAATAACACGCGTCTGGGCTAAGCTCCTAAAGGCCTCTAGAGCTTCCAAGGGCCTCGAAACGCCTCTAGATTCACACTGGCGGTAGTCTACTGTTCAGAACCGGTCCTTCCTGTTGACCCTGTGAATTCTCCCACTATGCATCTGATTCTCCGCCACATCGCTCTGCGGGTCCACGTGATTGTTGCCGATGGGGTCGCTGATGTCCTGAACCTCGCGAATCCAACGATAGGCCTTAGGCTCGAAATTTTGGTCATCAAACTCGTAGTCCTTGGAGCGTCTTCCCGCGCAGTCCATCTCGTAGAGGCCCAGCCCAGAGAAGCAGCATGTTGTGTGAAAGGCGTAGCTCGTCTGATTCTTCATCTTCTTCATGTTGCGCTCCTGCTCTCTGCGTCTGAGTACGACGCTGTCACACGCGATGCCGTACTCCACAAGCTCCAGGGCATGTCGTGGTGGAGTGCTCTCGCCCTTCCGCTTGGTGAGCGGGTCCGCGAGCTGGCTCGTCCCCTCGGTCCACCGAGGATGTACTTCAGGTCGTTGCATAGCGGCTCGAACTATGGCCGCGCCAATCGCAGCTCGCTCGTCCTCGGCCAGTCATGGTCGTAGCCCCCTCTAGAATCCGTAGCGCTGAGGACTGGAAAGCGCCACGCTAGCACGCGGGGCCTCATGAGGTCGAAATCGGGGCCGACGATCTCGACCAGCATGGCCCTGATGAGCTCCGCCATGGCCAATCCTTCGGAGATAGCCAGCGTCTCCGCTCCAAACTGATGAGCACACTTCCTCTTTAACTTGTGGTTCCTCCTGGCTTGGATGGGGATCTCGGCTGCTTCCCCCTTCAGGATCTCACGCTGCGTGGCGAACACGATGCAACCTGCTTGAGATGCTCCATCTCTCGCATTAGCCCAGGAGCCCAGGCCGCGTCGTTGAAGGCGACGAAGGAAAGCTCGTGGTAGGGAATATGCTTGATCTTGAGAGTGGCTCCGCTGAACTCCTAGGTCATCCTTCCGATGCGGTTCGCCTCCAGTAGGTCGTCGATCACGAGGTCGGGCATCTTTCCATGGAGCAGGGGCACCGGCCCTGTTAAGTCGGGCCGACTCTGCCGTGCCAAGAAAGGAATGGATCCGCGCAAACTCCTTGCTTCATGAAGTTCTTCTGGTGTCACTGCAGCACGGGGGATCTCGACGGCGCTCAGTGGAGATGCTGGCCAGCTGGACGTCGGACGAGCTGCTGCGCTGGGAGACGGCGACGTCCGTGCTGTCCTCATTTTGTGACAACTTATTGCCCGTAAGCTTGCCATTCCTGAACTTCCACGCCCCGGAGGGAAAGCTTTTCCGCAACTTCTCACAGGCCTCGCCGAACTTGGCGTCACCCCCTCCAGCGACGTCGTCCACCGTCAGTCCCATCACTCCATGCAATCCTTGATCGCCCCGAAGGTAGAAGGTAGAACCGTCGAAGATGGAACGCCTGAAACCGATGTCTTTGGCGTAGTTGGTGAAGGCGATCAGCCTCTGCGCTGGGGCGTCCCCGAGCCCGTAGACTGCCTTGAGTAACTCCACCAGTGAGCCCTCCTCCGCGTCGGGTATTCCTGTCCAGGGTAGTTCCACATGCAAGACGCCCTGAGATCGATCGATGGGATCGCCTGCCGTAGAAGCCGAAGTTATACCGGCCAGCTGGAGAGCCCACTTGCTGGTGCACAAAATCTGCAGAAAGAAACACCGAGCCCTTCCCACCGACAGGGCCCTAGGTCTCGAGCTCCAAGAAATCAGGATCGGCGTGGCCTTGCACGGCCAACAGTGCCTTCGCCATCCTCCAGGCCCCGTCGGTCAAGAGCAACAGCTGCCTCTTGCTCGCGCCAGCCTCCTCTGGGCCCCCGCCCTTGTCCGTGAGCACCCACCTCGAACCCACGACGCAAGAAACCAATTCAGGATCTTGTCGCATCTTCGCCGCCTGGGCTGGAGGTATCACTTTGACCGCGTTAGCGTTCTTGATGTTGCTCCACTCTCGAGGCTCTGCCGCGATGCAAGGCTGGTACTAGTAGGTGTTCAAGAAGATCTCCTTCCTCATCCTCTGGTTGGTGCGCTCTCGATCGATGTGCCCTTGGCCTTCTTGATCTTCTTCGTAGGTGGTGCTGCTGCTTCCTTCTGGATCTTCTCATCAAAAACGAGCGATGCGTTCTGACACTGGTATGGCCGCGGTCGGCAAGTCCTCCTTCCGCTTGATGCAGATTGGCACGTCGTCGAGGTGGTCGTAGCGCTGGTTCGTCATGGGAATGAGATCGGGATTGACCTCTGTGGACTTCTCGATATCCTTGAGTGGTGGCTCCCATGATGTGAGAACCGGATCGTCGCCTGCAGGTTCGGGTGGTGCTGCTCGTGGTAGCTCAAGTTATTCAGGTGGTGTCTCCTGCCTCGTGAGATCCTCGTACTTGCGCGTGCCTCGGTTCTCGGTGCTCAACTCCTTCTTCATCGCTGTCAGCCTGCTCCCAGGCAGTATTCTCTCCCTCGTTTGCATGTCTCAGCTGTTCTGGCGAACGCTTGAGAAAACCGCACTGGAAAGAGCACCAGGTGATTTTGGGC